GGCAGCAAGAGGAGCTCTGGCTCACATCTCCTCCTGTGTCAGCTTGGACAGGTTTCAGCACTGTGCTTTGCCTAGGAGAGCTCCAGGAGCTGAACATTTCAGCCATTTCTATCAGATTTTTGTGGAGTACCACAGCTTTCCCCTGCAGACCAGCCATGGGAGGCTGCCTGGTCCCCACCAGGCACTGGATTCTCCAGCTGCCCTTTTTGCACCTCCACCTTGGAGCTCACCCAACAAAATGTTTATGGATGAACAAGCACTTGCAGATTGCTTTCACAGGGTGCAAAAAGCTCAGGGTTTTCCAGCAAGATTGGTTACCTTCTAGGCCATTAGTTTAATACCTCAATTACACACTATCTGGTGTTCATGCTCTGGTGTCAAGGTGCTCTTTTTAAAGGAAACATTTCCAGCCAAATAGTCTGGGTCCTAAGAGATCAATTCCCCAGGTGTGACTGCCCTGGGCAGAGCTGTGCTGGTTTATGGCATCTGGAGATGTGGATACGTGTTAAGAACATGTGCTGCAAAAACAAGCATTGTTTGTGGTCTTGAAAAAATTATGCCTGTTGGAGGAAAAAGAAACAAACCAAATATCAGCTTAAGCAGAAGTAACGAGTGCACTGTGTAAAATTCTGAGGACTGCCTTGATGTGAGCACACAGGCCCTCAAAGTGTGTGCTAACAGCAACTGAAATTTTTCAGTTAAAAGAGAATTTCCCATGACACCTCCTCACTGTGGAATGTGAATTGTAGTATAAATATAAGAGAATTAAGTCCCAAAATGTTGTTTGTTTGTTTGTTTGTTTGTTGTCAATAAAATTATGAAGTGTGCCTCAGTCACCTAGACTCCTTTAGCTTCTTGATCTTTTTGCAAAACTTCTTTATTTGATCTGAATTAAAAACAGTTCTCCATGAAGCCATTACTTCTTGGCTGGAATAAAACTTCTGTGTAATCCCATATCAACTTGTCATCTTTTTAAATCTGATTAGGTGTTTGTGTTTATGTGTAAATTTATGCATATGAATTTATTAATCTAGACCAGTGACATTAAATTAGATGTGTCATTGCTCTGTTCTTTATTTCCCTAGCCTACTATTCTCATGTTTTGCTGTGCTCTGCAGGTCAAAGAAAAATGCCAAAGAGATTATCTGGAAAAGGAGTGTGTGGGGGGAGAAGATGACTGTGCTCCATGTAGTCTCAGGCAGAAAGAGAACCCATCCACATGACTCTTCGTGTTACCACAGCAGATAGCAATGCAAAATTGTTATTTAATCACAAACATTTCTTCAACAAAAGGAGAATTTAGGGCTCTGGGATTAGTATTTTGTAAGAGTTTGGACTAGCAGAACTGCAGTGCAAACATCCCTCTCCCCAGCCCGAGGTCTGCAGTGGCTTCCTGAGTGGCAGCATGGAAATCAGCAGATGGGGACAGTCCTACTCAAAATGACCATGTCTGATGCCTTTAGCCTTTAAAAGACACTTTCACAACTTTGATCTTCCAGTTTGGTTCCTTTATTACCATTGCCAAGGGCCTGAAATATAAGCTCATGAGTCCTTGATACAACAGAGGGACTTGCAGGGCATGCAGGTGATGTTCTGAGAACCTGAAAGAGATTTTGAGCTGGAGTGGTTGAAGCCCATGACACTAAGGTTAAAACTGCAATGGAAAACAGCATTTTTCTTTCTGAATAAATACAGGTGCTAGCAATGCCTAATTTGTTTGCTCTCACTTCTTGCCACACCAAAGAAAGAATTCTTCTTGGGGCTTTATTTTCAAATGCATGTTTTGTTTGCATAACCAGTACATTTTATCAGCAGCAACCGATGCTAGCTGACCAAGCAAGAGGGAAATTTTCATTCTGTGCGTGGTGATATCACAGAAACAATGTGTTTGAAGCCTTGTACTTCAAAAATATGCCTGTAAGGAATGGAAAAATCCAGGCTCATATTGTAAACACGTGAGTCACAACGGCTATTATCTCTTAAGAAATGGCATTCCAGCTCTTTGGTTCAGTCATTGATGATTTCCCTTTTTAACTTGTGGTGCTTTCTTACCCTTTTAAGAAATATCTGGGCTAACCCTAGCTATTTGTAGAAATGTTTGCAATTCACAGATTAAAACAAATTAGACATAGAAAGGACCCATGAAATTATCTTGTCCATTTCCTGAAAGGATATGAAATTGAAAAAGAATTGTGCTAAATATATATATATTAAAATGTGGAACTTTAGCTTATATACAATGTGAAGACAAAACATGTTACAAGTTTGCAGTTGTAAGGGTGCTGAAACATACTTTTTTTAGAAAGAAAAATTAAATAGATGACTAGCAAAAACACTAATGAAGTTTGTGTAGGATTTTCCAGTTCTTTCTAGGCAGCCACTTTTCTGGAAATTGTAGATAAAATTGAAAAGATCTGTTTTTGACCAGTTTGATTCAATTTTCTAATGAGAGAGAGCTTTAAGCAAAAATAATTCCCTTTAGAAAAAATAATTAAAACTTCTGATGCCGATTAGGTTTTTTGGGCTACTTTATCTCCCTCACCATCCCCAATCTGTTTGTTTTTCTTTTGAGGAAAAAATTGAGTACTTCTGTTGCCAGAATGGCTTCTCTTGGAAGTCTTTAGGGAAGTCTGAGACTGTGTGGACAAAGAACACATTTAGGTTTATTTAGATTGGGAAGAGTGTTGAAATAGGACAAGCATAAGTAGCTTTTCTTGCTTGCACCCAGGTTCCTGAGACAGAGGCAGCAACTTGTGTTTAAAATCATTTATGGACTTTTTGCCACTGCTCTGTGATTTCATTCGAAGTTTTTCCAGTCTCATATTATTAGGAGAAGCAAACAGTCATTCCCCATTCACTGCCTTGACAGAGCTCATGATCATCTGGACCTCAGCTAGCAGCCCGCAGCGTTCTCATCTCCAGTTTAGAGACCTCCTCTCTGCCCTTCCAGCAGTCCTGATCAGCCACTGGCTTTTGTTGTCCCCCTTCAGCACCGAGACAGGTTTCATTCTGGAGAAACAAAAACGGAAAGGATACAAAAAAATCTCAGAGGATTCTCTGGCCACCTGTATTGATGTCGTTTATAGAAAGTGAAATTCTATTTGCTGAGTCACAAAACGTTGGGCGTAGGAAACTCAATTTGTGGGAAAGCTTCTGATTTCCTGTTTTTCAGGAGGAAAGGGGTAAAACAAATGGCATGGAGGGGATGGGGGAAAGGAAAAAGGAGAATAAATCTAACAAAAGAAGAATGTCAGAATACCCCCAACTCCAGGAAGGATAATTTATTTTAGCCCTGCTTGTTCAAACCAGCTGTAATTCAGAGCATAATGTACAAGCTTCAGTAAATCATTCCTGTGTGATAGACTGTGATCAATGACAATTTAATGAATTCATTTTAAAATGAAGTCAGAATAGGAGAGACAGTAGTTATTTGAAAGCGTCCTTTACTCAGAGAAATTGAGTCAATAAATATGCTATTTGTCATGCAGAGTCCAGTTAGAGTCTTGTTTGCTAACAAAAATGCTGTCATCACAGAGCCTAATAGACGCAAACTATCTGGAACTATCCATTGCAAATAGACAAATTCCATCTGAAAGCAGAAAGCAAACGTTGTCGCTGAACAAAGAGTGGGATCCTGCACACATTGCTGAATGAAAGAGGGTAGCCCACCTCAAAATCTACTATTTTGTTTGTCATCAGAGTGTATTCTGATTGAGTATGAATGGCCTGGTGGTGGCAAAAATACAAGGTCTGTGTTTCATCTTTGAAATGAGTTTTAATTGTTGCAGAGTGAGGGCTTCTCTCACTGGAAAAACATGCCTCTAAAGTGACTTTAAATTGCAATATGTGGCATCAGTGAACTTGGATGGATTTGTGCAGGCTGCTAGAACAGGGATAAGCTTCATCCTTTTTCAAGCAGTAGTTTTACATTAATTTTCACAGCTATCCATGTTGTTTAGTGCAGATACAAGAAGGCTTTTTGTTCGGCTGTGCTTTTCACGCTTGGTTTTATTCATGTAAGTTGAAGAGATGGGAAAACTCTTGTTTTCATTCAGGCAGAGACTGGAAGTGTTAACACTGAAGTACCATCAAGACAACATGATCAAACTTTACAGGTTTGGGTTAGAATCACAGAATAAAAGAATATCCTGAGCCGGAAAACACAAGGATCATCGAGTCCAACTCCTGGATATTCAAATTGGTCTTGGATTAAAGGAGCCTGGTTTTCAGATATGACAAGCTGGCAGTGGCTGTTCAGCGTCTTGGAAGCTTGGTGTGCTTTCATGAAGGTCCCAGAGCTCTGCCAGGCACAGTTGAGCTTCCATCATCCTTCAGATTTCAGGGTGTGGAGGAAAAGAAAATGCTCAAAAGTCCTGAGGAGGTATCTTGAAGATGGTATTTCCTATCCCAAAGGAAAATTAAAATGATGTTACAGAAGCCTAAGACAGAGATTGTGAAGATTTTTTATGGGTTTTAAAAATCTAAACTTGACCCTTCACTCTTTAAATTTGGAATAGAACAGCTGGGGCATTTTTAGATTTTGCATCATGTGGCCAGACATTGGCTGATTTAGATCTGCCTTGCAGTCATCTTAGGAACATTGTTCATCCACTCCCAGAGCTGAATTTTCAAAAATGAGTTAGGAATCTGAATCTCTGTGGCTTTCAATGAAGTTTAAGCTTGTGTGAATCTAAGTTACTTCTTAGTTTGGATTTAGGATCCCAAATGACTGAAGAACTGAAGCATATTACATAGTCTATCTATGAAGTCTGTTTAGACTTGATCATATGTGATTTCTTATTGAAAGTACAATTTTGGTAATTTTTGTTTTCCTTGATGTTCTATTAACCACATAAAAACAGATGAAGAGCTTCCTGATAATATATAATGAGTTACTTGGGGATTGAGTTTGGTGGGTTTTTTTTTCATTCTGCTGGCTTTGTTCTTCTTGCTTTCCTCGCGCCGCTAACTTTTGATAACTTTTTTTTTTTTAATTTCAGCTGTTTCCACTACTAGGAGTAAAGACCAGTAAAGACAAAGCAGGATGAAAAGATGGCTGACTTCTTGTTACCACCGGGTACTAACAGCTTCCACCGGTTCACGCCCGAGTCCTTGGCTGCCATCGAGAAGCGAATTGCAGAGAAGCTCGCCAGGAATGCCAAGCAGGAATACAGAGAGCAGCTGGGCGAGGAAGAGAAACCTCAGCCTCAGTTTGACTTGCAAGCTTGCAAGAAGCTGCCTGATATCTATGGGACTGTTTCTCCAGAGCTCATTGGGGAGCCCTTGGAGGACATCGACCCTTTCTACAATGATCGTAAGGTGAGCACCAGCCTGCTCCTCTGCCTTTGCTAAAGCGTGACCTCTGCTTTGAGTGCTCTGCTTGTTATCTTCCTACAAAAAGTAAAAATAATTCTTTCCCAGATTAAGGATCAGAATGTTGGCATGAGCAGGGCTCCCGGAAAACATCTAAGCAAGAAGGCAAAGAGGGATAAAAAGCATAATTTAAACTTGTGTGTTTTCAGATAACCCTGAGAATGAATATACAATATCTGAAACGAGCAGAGCAGTAGCTGAGTTAATTTAAGCCAGAGGTTTTTATCTGCCCTATCTTGCCTTCTGCATGAGCTGTGACTTCACAGGTCTGTTGTTTATCACCTAAGCCCCTTAATGTTAAGGGCTTCTGGGTGACTTGAGCCTTGTGCAAGCACTCTGCACAAGAGCAGGAGGCACCTTCGCAACCGTTCCTGGAGAGCAGCGGCTCTGCTCCTGCTGAGGAAGAGCAAAACTCCATTTCAGGTGACCAAAATAGAGCAGGAGGGAGGTGTGAGCAGCATGTGCACTGCTGGCACTTTGCAGAATGGTGAACTTTGTCCCAAAGTGAGCATCACCTGATGAGGGATCACGTGCAGGCTGGACCAAAGCCACAGCAGTGCAAACAGCTTCTGTCAAAAGGCTGTTGACAGCAGAGCTGGGCTGGTTGCTTACTATAGTTCATTCCCCTTTCCAAGCATTTCATAAAACAGAGGACAAAATAAAGCTTGGAAGCCCTTTGTATTTTTAGGCAGCTTCCAGTTTTTTCATGTACTGCTGTTCCTGATTTTGGGCTACGCTATTTCCTGTAAACAATTAATTAATATGACCATAGTGGTACTTCTATTAAAACAGTGTAGATGTAGGTGCTAGAGCTACAGAATAAAAGTTGAATGGATAAAGGCAAACAGATTACTCACCTGGAAGGGCCAGAGTTAATTTACCTTTTAGTTTGCCTCCTATCCCTGGGCAAAAGCAACAGGATTATAGATTTGCAGTTTTAGTGCCATGAAGTTTTTAGATTCAAGGTGTGTGAATTGCTTAGATTTTATATATTGGGTGCCTCAATTCTGTCTCTGAGTGAATATTAGTTCCTCTATGCCTGGTGGGGCATCTTCAGAGCTCTGCAAATTGGGTCAGCATCCAATTCACTTTTATTTGGGTTTAAGATAACTCAGAGAATTGTTTTTCTCTGGCCATATTAATCTGAGCACAATGAGAGTGCTTCAGTGCCAAGGTCAGATCCTAGTGTGGAACAGTGCTTCCTACAACTTTTGGCTTGGTGAGACAAAATTGAGAGCAATAAAGTGTTCAAAGTAGAGAAGCTGCATCAACAACATAGTGAGATCTGCAGCACCTGATCTGCAGATCTGGGAAGAAGAGCATCACATAATTTCTTCCACCACATTTTAGTCTCCAGGTAATTGTTTTATTTTTAAAGGTGATTCTGCTCTCTTCGCAGCCCGGTGGTGGAGGTGATGGCACAGGATCCACTAAGGGTTGAAGAAAGAAAAAATACTTGGGATATTGCAACAGGACAGTCAGTTCTGTAGGGAAGGCCTTGGACAAAACTTTTCACCAAGTGAGAAGGATTTTGGGGGTCTTGGGATGGGGGGAAAGTATGAGATACTAGCAGGAATTTCCCAGTGGGATGTGGGCTGGAAAAGCTGAGCATAAATGCAAATACTGAATGTTCTCATTTTCTGTTTTGTTTTCCAGACATTTATAGTGCTGAACAAAGGGAAGACAATCTTTCGATTTAGTGCCACTCCTGCCTTGTACATACTTAGTCCTTTCCATCCAATCAGAAGAGCTGCAATTAAAATTTTGGTACATTCATATCCTTTCTGTTGATTTTCCTCCTCATGTATTTTATATGGGTTTTAAACACAGATGGATGGAAGTCAGAAACCATTTTATTTCATTAAGCTGTTTTAAATCTTCTGGGTGAATTTGCATGCACAAGCAGAAATGCACTTGGATTTTCGGTTTGTTTCATTTTATATTGTTATGTGAGCTATAAAAATGACTGTATCGTACTGCTGGCATCAGATAATGTGAACTGCACTGGAGAGTCTGGTGAGTTTACTCAGGATTAAAAGATGGGAAGGGACTGAACATCTTTACTGAACGGAAAGTGGGAGTAGTACCTCAGAAAGGAAGGCAACCAGGGGAAATCTGCACTGATGGAGAGCTTTCCTACCAAGCATTTCAGCAATCCCTCCCAGAGGTAAAACTCTGTGACACTGTCTGCAGACCTGATTTAATTTTGAACTGCTTCAGATCTGATTTTTTTTTTCTCCTGAAGCAGAACATTTCAAAAATGGTTTTGTTGATTCTTTCCCAGTTTGTTTATTTGAATGTTTTATCCAACAAAGAGAAGAGGCACAGGTGTCCTGCTGGACCTTGCGATGGAAGGGCAATGCCTGATTTCCTGTAGTTCTGGTTCAGAAGTCATGCAAGACAGGCTGTAGTGGTTGGTTTTGGCTTGTTTTTTTCCCACAACCCCAGAAACATTATATTCTGACATAGTCACATTTCTCTGGAAGGCCAAACTGACCCAAATGTTCAGCTTTGTGTGAACATTACTAAAAACACACCTTTTTTCATGACTTGGCTGCTTTCTCTAGGGTGCACATGGGAGACCAGGCAGTGATAATTCAAAGACTTGACATGCTGCTCTGATCATTCCAGGATGTTTTAGTGATGGAAATCCCTCATCTGCTCATGTCCACCATAGAGAATTAATAAATATTAATTAGGTAGCATCTTAGAAACATTGGTTAATTATCAAATTTCATGGAAAACAAATAGGGAAATAAATTAGATTCCCACTCCATAGAGGGAGGAGGAAAAAAAAAGGTGATACTATAGATACTCTGTCAAAAGGAAAAACAGGTGAAGCTTCTGATTGCAATAATTCTATGCAAAAATGAATATGTGTTATCAGCCAAGATATTATTATGGTTACTAAGAACAAACTGTAGAATTCTGCAGAGAGATGAGCTGGTGGATCAGATTATGTGAGCATACAATGCAGCACATGCTGCTGCATACCTAGAGCCCAAGCAAGCTTTTTAGGCACAGTTACCTCAGCATTGCTGAAGTTAATCAAGGTCAATGCATTTGCCCAGGTATGGCTAAGGGAAGAATCTGAAAACTGAGCTTCTTAGAAAGAAATTGAGAGTATTGCCTCCAGCTTTGAAGGCCTGTTCTGTCTTCTCTTCCCTTTTTTTCTACATTGTCTGGTGAAGCCAAGAAGTCACAGGAATGTGTAGCACAGGAGCTACACCCTCTTGGTAGCAGTCGAACAGAAGATAAATAAGCAAGAAATCCTTACCACATTACTTCCAAGGATAAAGACGACAGAGGAGAGCATTTAAAATACCTGTCAGGAAAGGATTATGGTCAGATAAGGAGTGTAAGATTTTGGGAATGGCATGTCTCAATGCAAACATAGGTTTAGCTCCAGAAAGACAGAAATCATCACCTCGAGTTGATCATTTCGAGAGATCCAACAGCTGAATCTTTGGCAGGCACAGGCAGGAGACAAAAACTCCAGTCCCAGTGAGACAATGAAGGTCCTGCATTAGGCACTGATTTGTTTTCTGTCAATAAAGTCCTTTTGTATCAACCTGAAATACAAAGGCCAAGTGGCTAAGCAGGCAGTCAATATCCCAGGCAGAAAGGAGCCCAAACCCGCAAGTACTGAAGCAGATAATATCCCAGACATGGACCTGGGAACCAGATCTATCCTCTTGCGTGACTGTAATCAAGCAATCTTTATTTTCCCCAGGGCAAAAGCCTAAAAGGAGCATTAGCAAATGGTGCCCTGTCACGTAAATATCTGTAGCAGCTTCTTTAGTGGATGCCATATTTCAATTTCCAGCCATTGAGTGCACCATGAAGGCCAACAGTGGAACAGAATAGAGAGGACGGAGTAAAATCACCCTATAAAGAAGCTGGGGAGGGGTCACATTTCCTGGTTAAGTAGCTGTATGTGGAGTTCTTCCTCTGAGATGTCTAGGAGGATAGATGCTTTTTGTTCATTGCTCATCCAGCCAAGACTGAGAAGTCCAGCCTTTCAAAAATACATCCTTCCAAGGGGAGAAACTCCCACAGCCTCCTAGTAATGTTTATTACAACTAACAATGAATCTTTAAACCCCTTCTAGGTATTTCTCCTCTTATTCAGAGTCTGTGAGGGCTCATGGATGGTTCAGGGCCCACATGGCTGCCCAGAAGGTGGCCCTGCTCCATTCCTGTCCCAGAGGACATGGGGAGTGCAGGATTGTATCCCCAATGGGATGAGCACTTTTTGCCTTCTGCATCATTATTAGCTGTTATTTACATCTTTATTAACTATCTCCACCTTTTAATGAGATTAAAACTCTGGTAACATTACTTTGATTCCCTGTGTTTAAAAGACTCCTCTTAGTTCTTCTTGCCTGCAAGCCAAGGACCATTCTGTGGTGTCCTTAGTTTCTCCAAGCAGTTTGCTAGCCTGTATAAAATCTGTAGCAATAGTAATTTCTGGTTTTTCTAGGTTTTATAGCTAGTTTTTCTCACTTTACCACTGATCCAGGCTGGAGGTTTGGCAAAAATTACTTCCTTGGTGCTAGAATTATGGATTCTGATGCATCAGAAAAAGAAAAATAATGTTCTTACAGAATTTCCAATCTTTGTCCATATTTTGTGCTTGCAGATTTCCTCCCATCTTATTTTGCACACTTTCCATGGGGCAAAATGAGATCTTGTGAAGCACCAATTATACATTCTATTCATTGGGACTAACCTTTGCTTGCACATATTATATGTAATTTGGCAATGATCACCTAAAGTGAATCTCTAGTATTCAGTCTGCTAATTAACAATTATCCATCATAATGAAGTCTAGAATAGAAGTATGCTGCGTTTGACTCAATATCTTTGTGCTAGGAGATAAAATTTATAACTTTTAGAATCGGTTTGTGCAAAGGCTATTCTGTAACCTCAAATTGGAAATAATAGGTTTAATTTATTGCAGAAAGAACCCTGATGAGTAGCTTAGTATATTTAGTTTGTAGGCTTTGGAAAATTTGATTTAATAGCAGTTCTAAGATAGGGAATAGACAATGCTGTTAATACAACTTATCTCAGTTTTATCTTCTTTGCTTTGTCCTTTCTGAGTAGATCATCATTATGGACTTTTTCTAATCCAAACAATTGCATTCGATTTCAGGTAGGAATGCTAATTTTCATTCTGTGGGGATTTCTGTTTTGTCTTTCTAATTTAACACAGACCACTAACTTTGGTGCGTAACCAGCTGAAATGTATCATTCTTTCATGTTCTTTGTAGTTTTCAGCTTGATGATGAAACCCAGATTGAATTTGTAGTGTGTTTGGTGTCCCAGACCTGACCCTTATGTTTTCAACCTGTGTTCTCTGGTTTGTTCTCTTTGGTGCTTGAATAAGGAGGTGATGACACCTGCCTGTAAGTGAGCATTTGGGAAAGCTGTTAGATTCAGTTTGTATCACAGGGAAACAGGCATAAAGAGATCAAACCAGTGGCCCTAAATTCCAATAGTGGAGTTTATTTGCTTGGAATTGATATATGCTATTTTTTTTTTGACATGGTCTGAAGATAGCTCTCTGGTTTCCTGTGCTTCATCCACAGCATTTCACTGGAGTTGAAAAAGTAATCCAGTGTTTTCTAGGCTACTGGAACTTAATAATTATGTTAACAAGAATGACAAAACTTGGAGAAATAGATCTGAAGCTGATGTGAGCAAATGTGAGTGGTTATCAGACATCCCTCCCAGCCCTTCAGTAGGAGGTGTTGGCCCAGAAGTGGAAGATGTTTGTGAGATGAGCAGTCCCTGTGAGTTCAATTACTGCCTTCTGTGGTGGCCCTGGGGAATCCTCAGGTTGGTTACTGCCAATTTAACCTTGCAGTTGCTTATGTGGCCCATTGGAAAACGTTCCACTCTGTATTCAGCAGAGATTTTGGCTCTGCAAGAGGATAAATTTAATGCAAACAATTCAGGACGTAGGTTTGAAACTAAATCCTTCAATCACTATTCTCAAACAAAAAGTAGCACAAACAGAATCAACTACAGAGATAAAAAAACCCAAACCAAACTGAACTTTATTTTTTTTTTTTAATCTTAAAAAAAAAAAAAAGAAGAAAAAGAAAAAAAATTATTTTTGGGTTTTACTTATATTGCCTGGGAAGGGTCCCTGCCTGTTGACTGAGTTGCAGGCTGTTTTCCTTTGCCCAATCTTCTGTAGTTACATTTTCCTGGTTGCATGGGACCAGTTATTGATGCAGGAGAATCTCATCAGATTGTGTAATTTTTTGTACAGGAAGTGGCATGTGCTTTTAGAAGAGCCATCCAGTGAATTATGTTTTCAATTTCAGGAATTTGATTTAGGGTGCTTTTTATGTTTATGGTTTCAGCTTAGCAGCAAAGTGTGTGAACTGGGAGGTTTGTTTTAGCCTCCAAGCAGGGAATCTGGTCCCTCAGCAGAGGCAGAGAGCCCTGCAGACCAAGGCTGCCTATTTGCCCAGCAGGTTTGCAGACCAAGCCTTAAAATTAGTGCTCTGAAACTCATACTTGCTTTTGGTGAAACTTTATGCTGAAAGTGAGACCTCAAGCCCATTAAAGAGATTAGAAAGACCAGATTTGTAACTTTCCCCTACTGCCTGAGAAATGTTTCAGGATAAAAAATGAAGTGGGAATTTGCAGACACAGGTTTTTCTGTGGATACTTAAATGAGACTAATCCCTCTTTTCATACAAAGTTGTGCACCTATGCACATTGTCATCTGGCCAACACAGCTGTAAATTTGGGGTATTGTGCTTTCAAAGGACTGCAGAGTCAGTACATTTGTTTACTGTATGAAGTATGTTTAAAAGATGTAGGAAAAGAAGAAAAAAGCGGGGAAGGTTCCCTCATTTTTCTATGTTTATATAATTATTTGTCTCCAAATGCACTTGCAAACAAATGCTTATAGTTCTTGAAGCAACTTGCAAATTGTGATTGAGCTGTCACATCTTGTGTGAAAAGACAAAAATTTAGGAAGTCTTGTATCAAATGCATTGTTTTCCTTAATTTGCCTCTTTACATTGTTCAGTATGTTTATTATGTGCACTATTTTAACTAATTGTGTGTTCATGGCACAATCAGAGACTCCATCATGGAATAAATATGTTGAGTAAGTATCCTTTACAGCTGTCCCATCCTCACCTCATCCTTCCTCTTCCTTTTGTTTTGTTCTTATTTGCATCTTGTTTGCTATTGTCTAATTTCTTTCCAGCAGTACTGGCTGTGGTGTCTGCCCTCTCAAAATGTTTTTCCAGGTAGTTGTTTCAGCCTGTGAAAACTCCCTTAGTAAGCAAACTAAACATTTTCAGCCCATGAATCTCATGCTTATTGCCAAAGGCACCTTTTATGCTACCTCTGGAAGAAATAAAGTATTGAGGACAACCCTGTTTGAAATTTGTCAGCCTTCCACAGTTCCCATGCAAGAGATTTGATGCTTGGACACACCAGAATAGGCTGATGGAGCTTAAGTTGAATTATTTCAGAGAATAGTTCCTGAACTGACTTCTATCCTTGATCTGAAACTTAATGGAAGAAAAAGTTTATTTTGGACTGAGCACAGCATGAGAAGTGTTCCCCTGTAATCATTGGCAGGAATACTTTATGAGCATCAAATTATCTGGGAATACATCTATGAGAATTCCTGTCTTTTTAGCTTGATAAGCCTTCAGGAAAAATAGCAAAAGTGCTGCTTTAAAGGGGTTATTTTTTGGTGTTGTGGGTTTTTAAATTAATTTTAAAAGAGGTTAAGGGACTTCAGTGAAAAGAAAACCCATTTCATTTCTTTAAGTTGTTTAAAAATATTCCTTTTAGAAACAGATACCAGATGCACAAGCTAATCAACCTACAGTGCATTAAACAATTATTTTGGCTCATTGAACCAATCAGAACACACTTTTTATTTTTGACTGACATATGATAAATGCCATCTGCTGCTTCATAGCCTGGTGGTTGGTCTACTCAGGGCTGTAAGAAAAGACAGTAAAACGCCCTTATTTAGGTTCCATAAAATCACGCAGGACACATCTTCTAGGCCATAAATTACTAATTATAGGCAGCACTGAACCAAATATTTCATCCCATCACAATAGCATCCTAATCCCAGGATGTTTCATGTGTAGTGGTATGTCTGTGGCTGTCCTTTCCCCTGATGTTGTCCTTCTCCTATTGAAAATTTTCATAACCATTGCCATGACGTTTTCTGCTGAATCACAGACATCTCATCCACATGATGACCTCATCAATATTTGGCCAGTTGGTGTACAGCTGGAAATTCAAACATTCTGGAGGGAAATGCCAAAAATGATAATATTGTGTGTTCTGCAAGCAGGAGAGTGTGGATGATTTTATCAATGCATCAAACAGAGCATGCAGAAAACATAGAGCAGAAATGCAGATGGACTCATGCAGCATGGAGTGAATCCTTCCATGTTTCCTCTTCTCCTGTGTCCCCTCATATCTCTTAGCTTTTCCTCCTCAAGTGCATGGAATGAAATCAAAGTCAAGTACTTTGGAGGCGCAAAATAACCCAATGAACTGTAATTCAAATTGATTAATATTGGATTTGGAGAAGATACATTTAATCCATTTTGTTCTGCTGTTTCAGAGACTCACAGGGGATAGAAGAATAACCTTGCTCAAATATGTGTCCTAGATCTTCCTCTAAAGCATTTTCCTTACCATTTTGAAAAAAAAAAAAAGTAATCAATTCAACTTTTCCCCCACTACAATTTTTTTAAGAACGCTGACTTTTGTTGTTAAAGAAGCTGTTCAATTGCTGGAGGACTTTGCCCGATCCATTTAGAATTAGACGATGATTATACAATCAATTAAACCCATCTGACATGCTGAATAAATACAAGTGCTTTATCATTTTAATGAGCTTATGTACTGTTAAGTATATTTTTTTAGATCTTTGCATGTGTTTTCTGTGTGTATTACTAAATACACATGCTTAAAGAGACTGTCACATGGGTGACCTATATTCGAAATACCAGAGCAAAGATAAATAAGAGCTGTAAAAAAGTTGGGTACAAGATAATACTCAGGTATATGGTCAAAGAGGAGCTGTGAGACACATTTAATGCCCACTGCTGCACCCAAACTGTCCTGCTAATCCCTATTTTAAGATGAAACACAATGAGATTTTATAACCTGTGAGTAGCACTATGTTGTGACACGATGGCAGGAGATCATGAGATTTGCCACTATCTGTGTGTTTGACCAGTTGCAGTTCAGTGAAATACAGCTAAATATATTTTATGCACAATGTTCTTCTTTATATTGCCACCTTCAATCACTCACACATTTTTTCTGCCAAACAGGAATCTGAACTGTTACTTTTTTTTTTTCAATGTGTGGTGGCACCAATTGATGTTTGGGCACTGAACAGAAAACAGAAGCCAGTGTTTCCAGTGACAGCCCTTCACATCATGACTTACGAGATTTGTGTTTTAGTGGATTTGAGGTGTTTGAGGTTTTTTAATAGGCTTTGGTGTCATCTGCATCTTCATTAAGAGAAAAGGGGTAGGGAATGCCCATGGTAGACACTAAACATTTATTTATTTTGTTAATATATGGCCTAGAATACCCAGTCCATTGGGCTGGGTGTTTCGGGCAGCAACATTAAAAAAGAGCTGTTGTATGCCCTGAACTCTGTCTCTGATGGCAGGTAGAGCCCTAGGTGAGTACAGATCTCAGAGCTATAAATCAGAGGCATTACTGTCCTCCACAGAGATTTGGCTAAATTTTATTACAAGTGTCATCTTTATTATGAAAGGTAAGATCTATGTTCTAGCCTGGATCGCCACAGTCAAGAGGTTGTCGGTAATAACTTAATTTACCAGGGGAAAAAAAACTAGCCTCATGTCTCCTTTACTGTCAGGCAGGTAAAAATTACTACGTACAGTAGTCATGTGGGAGTTTTTCAATTCTTTTTCAGTGAGGGCATTTTGTTGTTTAATTCTCAAGGCCGGTGCGATTTGCAGGGATAGTGAAATACAACGGAAGTTGATGGAGAATTACCCTTTCTAGCTGATAAAAACCAGTGGTGGCACTTTTTTAATCTCCAAAATATCTTGGGCAGGAAGACATGAGAGGTATGAATGGAACAACCACCCTCCTTTCAACTGGAAAAGCAAAGAGTGTGGCATAATGTTGCCCAGAGAGGTTGTGGACTTCCCATCCCTGGGAGTGCTCAAGAGCAGGTTGGATGGGTTTCTGATCAGCCTGGTCTAGTGGAAGGTTTCCTGCTTATGGCAAGGCAGTTGGAAGGAGATAATTTTTAAGGTCCCTTCCCACCCAAACCATTCCATGATTCCCTAATCCACTCTGGCAGAGGTTCAGAAGTCCCATAGCCCAGCTTTGCAGTGTGGTGTCCATGCTTGACTTAATGAGTGAGGATTCATCAAGGGACACCCCGTGCTGGAAATTGTCTTCATTCTGAGACTGTCCCCAGTATTTTGCTGTTCCTTACCTTTCCTTGGTCCACACACGAGGCTGTTCATGCACAGCCCAGTGCTGCAGCTGTGACTCACACGAGCAACCCCAGAGCTGTGCCCCTGCAGTTTCAGCTGACTGCTGCTTGCTAATTCTCTTTCTTCCTTGGCCACTCTCTTCCCCAGGTACACTTTCACTGGCATTTACACTTTTGAGTCATTGATAAAGATATTGGCAAGAGGATTTTGCATGACAGAATTCACCTTCCTTCGGGATCCATGGAACTGGCTGGATTTCAGTGTTATTGTTATGGCGTAAGTAGCACTCCTTTATATTTTTCAAGAGAGTTATATGCAATAGAACTTTTTAAATGGTTGTCTGGATGGTTTTTTTTTTTCCTTCACTCAAATTTTACTGAAAATGAGAAAAGGCTGAAGTGTATTAGGATGGAGGATTTTTATCCTGAGTGGTTTCAGAGGAGGAAGTCAGAGGAACTCTCAGTTCTGTTCTCTGAATTCACTACACAACTTTGGAGAAATTATTTACTCTCTCTGTGCTCCACAGAGAGAGCTGTTTGTAAAATATCTGTAATAATATCTGCCTATCTAATGTAGTTTTGGGAAGCTCCAGACCCCTGAATAGAAAGTGTTGTAAGTGTGACTGAATACACACGTATTTAAATCCCTATTTATACTCTATCTATCCATCACATCATCAGAGCTGTTTTCACGTCCCTCTTTTCATAAACTCTTTTCGCCTGGAAAGTAATTATTATTTTACTATAGAGAATTAATTTGTAGTCCTCTGAAACTTACTATGTATCTTGGAAATAGAAATTTGGCCCCCACCATTATATTCCCCTTCAGCTGTGTGCTTCTGCCTAGATTGTTAGAGTTCATTGAGGACATGTGGGGTTCTGGTGCTGTGAAGAAGGTGATGGATTTGCAACATCCAGACAGCTAAAAATACACAGGGGTAGAGAAGCAGTCAGCCAGCACTCACAGGGGACTTAGGGTCAGCCCCAGCTCTAGCCAAAGGCAGAGGTCTGACACTGTCAGTACTCCAGCTAGGTTAGAAATCCAGATTTCTTCATAGTCATTAAAAAAAAAATTGTGCAAAAAACACAAGAGTGCCATCTTGAACTGAAAGCTGGTAGAGATGCCTGAAAAGCTCCACTTCCTAAACACAGAAGGATCTGATCTGATCACCCTGTTTTTTTCTGCTCAATGATACCTGTATTCAGTTAGGTTAGTTCTTGCTGCCATCTTTAACCCCCATAATTCACAGCATGAACTGAGATTCAAGTGTGTTAACACCAACATCTGAGCTGAGCTCCACGGGCTGTGAAATTTAAATGGAACCAAAATCAGGAAAGAATATTCAACCAAAGTTAGCTAAAACAGTGAAGTTAAAAGCACAACTCTATTAGGGCACAGGGATCAAGACCAGTATTCCAGGAGACTCTGGATGGTGCTCTTTGTCATGGTTTAGTTTTAGGTAGTCCTGTGAGGAGCAGGAATTGCACTCTTGATCCTTATAGATCCCTTCCCATAGCTTAAAATATTTTATAATTCTGTGGTTCTTAACAGCAGAAGCATGAAGGTGTGTAAAACCTAAGTGAACTTCCTCAGGAACACTCCTGGTTATTTCAGTAGGCTTTGGATCTAAGCCAGCCCTAGGCCAGGTCCTGGTATCTGTTGCTGCATTCCTATGGATTTGGCTGAACTGACATCTGGCCACTATGATAAGCCTTTAAAAAAACAAATCAGTGCAGATGGGGAGAATCTTTTGTAGTTCAGCACACATTGGGTATTTTTTGCAGCTAAACTTTTTCCTCAAGCATTGCTGAGTGCCATTCTCCTGCAACTTTTAGTGGCAGGACAACGCCACAGAGTCACCATCCTGCTCTCCTGTCTCCTGTCCATCAGGCAGGTGGGAAAAGCAGGGTATAATCATCCATCTGTTTGTGAGTTAGGATGTGAGTTTGTTTGTAGGTCTCAGAATTCAGCACAACGTGGAGAATTTCTGTGCATGGGTTCTCACTTTTCTAGAAGGAAGGAGGTTTCTGGCAGTAAGGTAGAAAGGAGCAGAGAAAAGGACAAAAGGAGCCACAGCTTTGATCATGAATCTGCTCCACCTCATCTTGTCAACTTGGGCAGAGATTGAGGCATCTCCCCCAGCTCTGGGGGCATCTCAGGCTGAAATTCAGTCCTGAACAGTCAGAATAGCCCTTAAACTGTCTCTGCATCATCTCTGGATGTTTGGGACGTAGGGAGCAGGAAAGACGAGAAGGTTTGCACAGACCTTGAGGTGGACAGTAACCCACAGGGGAATTTTTCACTCTGTTGGTAGGAATCAGGATTTGGTGCCCACAGGTTGTGGGTTTATCCCTCTCTATTTCTAGACTTGAATGGCCACTCAGTGCTCCAGCCCAAGGATTATGAAGAATCCTTAAATCCTTTTCTTATAAGAGGCCTGGGTTTCTGTGCTTTCTTTCCTCACTACCTTTTGGTTTTCTTTCCAAATGATATTTCACATCTTAGTCAGAACATCCCTAAAACAGGGGGACCTACAGCTGTGAACTATCAGACTTCTTAATATCAAACTATTTTCTTAATACCAAACTATCTCTTCAGAACCAGAATCCATTCCTATTGTTTCTTACTTCAGGGCATATTATACTAAGCCTTTAAGAATGGAAAAAATAATTGGCATTCAGGAATAAAAAAAAGAAATGGAAAAGTGTTTCCTTGAGCCCACGGGCAGCAGTGAGAGAGTTAAAAGTGGCTGCAATATGATCTTCATGTGTACAATGAAACCTCCTTCCCAAGTATGCAAGCAGCAGATAGTACAGAGACTTGGATAATGGAATCTATTCTGATACGATTTAGCCTTCATACAAATCCAATTTGCAAGTAATTTAGAGTAAGATGGATCACACAGGTAACTCTGGTGTTGTCTTTACTTGTAGCCTGTGTGCTGCCAGAGGTATTTCTGTGTCTGCAAACAAAGATGGGCTGGGAGTTCAAAATGGAGGAGCCTGATAAGGGACTGTGAGATTCAGATGGACCGAGGGTTTTGAGATAACAGAAAATATGATTATTTCACTCATAGGTGTTACAGTGGGAAGGCCATCATTTGCTTTAGAGTTGTTGCAGAATAGCTTCTTGTCTTCTCTTTTGGGCAGAAACAGCACAGATTGGGCCACAGAGAGTAATTTTAAATAGCACACTGGAGAATAAGAAGTGCTGCAGTTCCCTGGGGCTTTTCTGCTGTCCTGTGCCAGTGGGCACAGCCATGGCTTGTGACCCTCTCTGGGGTCAGGGGTGGGTTCAAAGGAAATTATGAAACTGCCCTTGTTTAGATCCCTCTCTCCCAGACTAGTGAGTTCCTCTTTCCAGGACAGGTGAGGGAGAAGCAGCTGTAGCTCTGGGTTGGGAAATGCCCTGTCAAAATCTTAAAGACAATAAGCAACTCCCTGGCTAATGGGAAAATTCAGGATAGGAATTCCAGTTACTCCTCATCCCTGGTACAGAGGAACTGGTCAGCAGCATTTTAATTGAAAAAATGACCGAATTAAATTCTAATTGACTATTACAAATAGCAGTATTATCTGCTTCATATGCTTGATCAAACATTTCTAATGTGTTTTTACAAATCTCTGGTCAGAAAAACCATATTCCCATCCTAGTGCTTCTTCCCAAATTATTTTTTCCTCCATATTTCATGCTGAAGAAGAATTTGGGAGAGAAGCACAGGGCAAAGCTGGGGAAGGAACAGGTGAATCGTTGCCCAGACTCACCTGTGAGATTATGAAGAGAAGCAACGTTGTTCTTCCAGGCTATAATCTGGATTAGTAGATACAGAGAGACTGCTTTGTCCTCCCCAGGGGCCTTTGGACAAAGGCCACTTAAGCAGGCTTTTTAAAATAACCAGGTGAGTTTTTTCTGTAACATTTAGAAACAAAGGCCCCAAAGAAGTAGGGCAGTTGAATGAAATTTGGTAGAATTTTAGAAGTAAAATTCAAGGGTCCAAGATCTCTTTTGTTCTGAAGATACAGTGGTGACTATGGTTTTTCTGCATACAGACTGGGAGGAAATAATTTTGTACAACACTGATTAAATGAAGCTCATTCCATGACTGGAATGCTCCCTCCTGGGAGCATTTAGCATGGATGTGATGAGTCTCCAGGATGACCAAAAGAGGCAAGGCAGGGAACTTCTGGGACTGGTATTTTAATAATAAAGAGTTTTTAGTAGGATGGCAGTTATATTCATTTAGACTCCATCTTCCCACAGCCAAAGGGCATGAAATTGAAATATAAAACAAAATACAATTTAAAGTATCTCTTGAAACCAAAATTTGCTTTACCACAGAACTACAGCATCTTAAACTAAATAACCCAGTCGAAATGTTTGAACTATTTTGCTATGTTGTCCTATATGTAGTTTTCAGAAGCTATTATGTGAAAATTGCTTGAGTATTTGAAGCAGCAAAATAACTCTTAATATTTCCAATAATGTAAAGAATTTTATTTTTTGTTCAAGTACATGATGGTAAAATCTTTAAAGTATTTATGGCTGAACAGCACAATAACAGAGTTCACCCAGTTGTTTTAAAGCACGGATGCCTAATAGAAAAGTTTAATAGTTCAAGTAGCATTTGAAATGATGTGCACTAATAAAAACCTGGGGCAAATGGCATCAAAGAACAGCTTGAAAAGTGGATGCACCTCTCATTTGGCTGCGTTCACTCCCACTGTGTATGAATGCTTTCTACATTCAGACAAGTCTCATACTCTATTGTGTAATTCCAAATAACTGTGACTTAATTCTACAGGTATGTAGGAGAATTTGTGAATGTAGGCAGTGTTTCACCTCTTCGGACTTTCAGGGTATTGAGAGCTTTAAAAACTATTTCAGTAATCCCAGGTAAGACGCCCTGATCCTTATGTTTTGGCTCTCAGCTACAAGTGATTCTTTCTCTGTCTCTCTTTGTCCCTTTGATTGTTGTTTTTTTTTTGGCTGGTGTTTTGTCATTGTCTGTGTGTGACTTTCCCTTGTTACAGATACATAACTGAATTTGTGGACCTGGGCAATGTCTCAGCCTTACGAACGTTCAGAGTACTGCGGGCGCTGAAAACAATCTCAGTCATTTCAGGTGAAAATCAGGTTAAACACTCGGGCTGCAGTTGAAGCCTACATGCCATTTCCAGTAGTAAACACTGTAATTACCAAAGACTTAACCATAGATACTGATCAGGAAATGGAGGAATGTAGGGAATGTGACCTGTCAATAGAATACACTTTTTCTTACGTGTTGTGTTTTTTTCCAAAATGGTTTTTGTGGGCAGAAGGAATGAGTGTGCCTCCAAAATTGCAGAGCTCACAAGTGCTGCAGTAAGAACAGTGGCTCATGAATCACATACATAAAGTGCTCATCTGTGAACCCTATGAAGATGGCAATGAAAATCTTTTAAAACCTTCGGATATTGATTTTTAGAAATGGAAGGTTAATGACCTCAAAATGCATATTCATGTTTAAGAGCACATCGATAGAGGAATCTAAATCCGTGCTATGAGCTGAGGTTTCAAGACTGCAGGCACAGATAGCCTAATTTGTCATGGTGTTTATCCATTTGCATGTGATAGAAACACTGCTGAAATTTTGGGCCTTGAAGAGGTTGGAAAACATTTCAGTGTTGATTTCGGCAGTCAGCATTTCCTCAACTCATGTTTTCTCATATTTTCAAGGATATAATTTCTCCCCTCTTCACCCCCTCAAAAAAAAAAGAAAAAAAAAGAAAAAGAAAAATCAGTTTTACTACACATCTGGTAGTGAAAGAAACTCTTTATATAATCTCTTACTATTAAAACAAAAATATTATTAAGTAATTTATGTGGAGTTGAGTCCACTGAGGACTAACCATGCAACAAAACTTTCTTGCTGAGCATTATCTATGGACAGGTCTCATTCAGCCTCAGTGTTTAACATCTCCAACCTGCATGACAAGGTAGAGAAGATAGCAAAAACCATGCATGGTAGATCCTATCTGTGATAATCCTGAACAGATGTTGGCAATTACTTGTTAAAAATATTCAAAACATTGAGAGAACTGCTCAGATTCTCACTCACAGATCTTTAAGGTTAGAAAGGCTTTTCCACCAACTCTATTATGCACTATAGTATCAATCTAAACAAATTATGTGTAGTACATTTACAGGGATATGTATTAAAGCTCATTACCACATGGAGCTAGAAATGGGAATTCAGGAATAGAAGTCTTAAGAAAAAATATATATCTGGGTCTAGAGTTTGATTCCTCATTCCAGTACCACAGTAATGGAAATCAAGGAAATTACTGGGAAAGCAAGGTACTTTTCATTGGAAGTGTGTGTCCAAATACAGATTTTAAACAGATTCATTAGGTATGAAACCAGTACCTGTCTTAATTTTTGTCTTTAAATTTTAAAGAACAATTTATTAGTAGAGATTTTTGGGGATTTTTGAGTTTTTTGTAAAAGGATTTCCATTGAGATAGGATTTTTATTTTCTTTTGGAAACAGAGCTGAGCATAGCTTTACAGATCCTGTGAGATGACAGTGGCTACTCAGAAAGAAAGGCAGAGTTTGTTTCCTGGATTCCTCTGATAGCGATTTGAAGACTTAACTTGGAGGGACATCTGTCTCCAGGGGACACCTTTCACCTTACATCTTGTCTCAGGCTTGAGCCTCCTCAGAGCAGAGCCTGTCAATTTTTCTGAGTTATATATATAACAATTTTCTGCTGTCCTATATCAGAGGAGGAGCTGAAACTTGTTTTACATCAAATGATGAGATATGACTTAGTGGGGAAAAAATTGAGTGCTGACATTCAAAATATCCAGATTGAAATACACCAAAACCCTTCAGTGATATTAAACACTGAGTTGTTCCATTTGTTGGTTAATAGAAAAGAAAAAAAAAAAAAGAGGAGTGTTATATATTAAAGTAATGCATAATAACTCACATTCTCTTTTATCATTCTGACTGAATATTTGATTAGTTTTTTTGATAACTGCATTTTTATGTACAAGTTCCTGAATTATTTGGTGACATAACTGCATGTAGATATGCTAATAGAATATCTGGCCTTTGATTTTATCATCAAGATTACCTGTGTCCTGACTATTAAATTACAAATGTGGAGAGCTACAAATTGCCATAGCTGCCAGTGAAAAACAGACAAGGTGGGGTTTTTTTTAATATGAACAGATAATTTCAGAGGAGTCACTTCATCTCACAGTTAGGCATCTGTATTTTAAAAAATATATTGGACATGATGCTGTGGTTTCTCTGGAGATCAGTCTGAGTTTTTAGTGATAACATAGTCTTATGCTGAGGTGAAATATTTTCCCCCTGCAGGCTTAAAAATGAAAAGATGATGAGCATTAACATCTTTCATGAGATTTTTGGGGTTAATTGCTATAGAGAGGAGAAGGTGCTTGTTATTTTTGCTTCCCCTTTCACGTCTCAGGTGAAAAACACCAAGCTGTATTCTCCTTTGGAAATATCTGAGCTTTCCCTCAATAAAATTGATCACTTTTCCATCAGGTACTTCTATTTGCACAAACATGCTTGGACTCGTCGTGCTCAGTGAAATTGTTTACAGAAAGCCACGGGCCAAGTCCTCTGTGGTGCAAGGCTTCTGTCCAGCAAAGCACTTAGAGGCTGCTTTTCAAAGGCATTCTGCTTCACTTGGAATCAATGGGTTTCTCTATTGACTCCAGAAGGAATCAGTAAAGCTGACAATTAGTGCTTTTAAAAATCTCACCTACCTTTAATGTCTGGCTCTAAGTGCTCAAGCAGGCACAGAGATCTTTAGGGGAACATGGGCTCAGAGGGCTGAAGAAGATCTCCTAAATTCAGAGTCCATTCCCCTGGCCTAAGGCTGCATTTAGCACAGCTCAAGTATGGCATGATATTTATTGCCTGACTTCTTTGAGCAGCCCTTCAAAGGTGGAGGTCTCAGGTTCTTCCTGAGAAGTCCAGGAACTGTTCCAGTGACTCACTGTTTTTGTTATTAGAAGATTTGTCCCAGGTGGATGGCTCAGATCCAGACCCAACAACACAAACACTGGCATCTACCAGCCAGCTTCCCTCTCACTGGAGAGCTGGGGCTCAGTTTGGGTGCCAGAGTGCCAATATCTCCTGCTCCAAATGTGCATGGACCTGCAGGTCCTGTCTCTGAATGCAGCTTCCCTGTTTCTTGCTTCATCAGATCTCTCTTTTTTCCCCTGGAGCTGTGTAAGACATCAGGTCAGTGCCTTATCTCCTGTGGCAGCCCTTAACGTGCCAGAGGACCTTCATGGAACTCTTCTATTTTCCCTTTTCTGCACTGAGCACACCCATTTCTTCCTGTTTTCCAGTTGCCCATGATATTGAGTGGAAAACAAGCTTTGTACAGGTTCAGGTGCTTAGAAATAGGTAACATTTTCTCTATGGGAGCATTTTAAAACCTTTAACTCTCAGTGATTTGATTTACTAATTGGCGTCTTGCGTGTTCCCATGGCAACTGGATTCATTTGTTTTTCTAGCCAGATAGGAACCATGGTCAGCAGCAGAACAACCCACTGAAGCCATTCATTTGTCTCCCATTAGCATCCCATTACCAGAGCATCCAAATCCCAGTGGGCCAAATAGAAACAGCAACAGAGGGTCTTGAATCATATTTTATCCTCATGGAAATCACTGATGTTTTTGATAAATACTAATTGAGATAATATAAGCCCTGAGGTACACACTCTTCATCAAAAGACCACAAAAAGCAGGCCATCATCATCATCATCATAATCCTCATCAACATCCCCAGGATTTTGAACACTGCCTGTATGCAGCTGTATCCAGGGAAGCTCCCCTGCTCTTTCTGGAGCAGGCGTGTACACCACGGACATCTCACACAAAACGACAGGGTACCGGGGAAAGGTGACCTCATAGAAAATTGGGCCAAGGCACTTTGGGGCCTGATCCAGCTCCCATTTAAGTTAGTGTGAGACTAAAGGCTATAAATAGTGCTGTGAATGTTATCCAGTGCCTCTGTGATAGCCAGAACAGAGCTCGGAGAAGAAGAATTAAGACTGTGTGGAGGAGACTGACCCCCGTTCACTGCTTCAGCCTTGCTGAAATCCTGCTGCAGGGAGATAAATGTCACCCTTTTGGTGGTAAATCACTTAACCCAAGAAGTAGCTATCCCAGAGGTGAGAAACATATGGCATATTTGTGTTTTCCTTGGAGACTGGCCTGTCAGTCACTTTTCCACGCTAAGCCAGCCTGCAGGAATGCTGACACCAATTCAAGTTTGCCAACACGTTGTTAAACTCTTTGCTGCCCCATGTCTCAGTAAGTAATGACAAAATACACTCATCAAGGGTGAGCTCTTCTCTCTCTACATGCCTGTGGCTCATGCAGACGTTTACAGGACACAGGTGTATCCTCAGGGAAAGGAATGGGCTCGATGAGGACAACCCTGCTGCAAGTCACATTCTTTTTTTTTTTTCTTTTTATTTTGTGGTTTTTTATTTTTCTTCTCCTTCCCACTTGTTTCCAGACTGTGCATGAACGTGTCTGATGTTCTGTAGGTGATTGCCAACATCTGGTATGGATGTCATACTGAATTACGCTAATACTTCCTCACATCTCACATAAGGAATGGATGGTGTTTTGGGATCTTGCCATTTCTCATTGTTTGGTGTTGCTTGCATTTTCTATGGTTTCTGATTTGCATTTGAAAAATGATTATTTGATTAACCTCTGAATGTGATAATTTCTACCTGCCCTAACAGGAATATTTGGGCCAAATTCTCCTTGCTCTCTGCGGATGTCAGGCTGCCTATACAGCCCTCATTCCACTGATTTTGGATCTCGTGGTTTTTTTCATGTCATGCAAGCAGGATTTGGCCCAGAGGTGTGGAAAGAAGTCAGTGATTCAGAAAAAGCCTGTTATTGATTTACTCCACAGGGAGTAATCTATAGACCCATTGTCATTAACAGCTGTAGATGTTACTCAGCTTTGGATCAGATCCTCAGGTTTTTTCCTGCATGCTGCCTGGTTTGATGTTTGACTTGCAAGAATTAAGTAAATGCCTTTAATGCCCCATAAATAATATCTTCTATTAAGCTATATTGCAGTGCTCTCATTGGCACTATTTCAAAGAAGGATTATTTCTCCAGAAGATTTAACTGTGCTCTAAATTTGAATACATCTAGCATTGCTTTTACAAAACATGGGATTGATTCAGTGATGCAGAGCACCTGCAAGAAGTTCTGAGTGTCCTTAATTCCCCTCAGCCCTTCTGTTTTAGAGGCACAGATTGTTTAAATGAGCAATTAATTAAATATTTTCCTTAGGCTTGGCACTTAGTTGTGTCAGCCACCTTGATGGATGCTTCTTAATTTTCGGAGAAAATTTTCGTTTTAAAGGGTGAGAAAAAACAGTTCAGCTGTAAGTATAACACTCTCAAAATTGTTTTCCTGGAAAGTTTTAACAAAGGTCCAGGAGGCAGAGTACAAGTTATTTTTAAATGGTCTTTAATTACAGAAATTGTATTACTAAAGTATCATCTTCTTAAATTGTTCAGAAGCTCGTAAGCTATGAAAACAAATAAAAAAATTAAAAAGGAAATAAAGCAGAAAGCCATTTAATAAAGAAATTATTTGATACCTGCAAGGAATGAACTTGTAAAACGAAGAATATAGAATTGCTATTCTATTTAAAACTCCAGTAAGTAATCTGGGAAAAAACATGTTTTATGAAATGACCTTGAAATTGCCAATACTGAGGCCTGATTTTGTCTTTATTGGAGACTAGAATTTTGTAGGGTTTTTTCTCTAATATTATCCCTATTCATATTAGGACTCCCATTGCCCTTGCCCATATGAGTAAGACTAATTAGTGCCGTTAGATGGTACAAATACAGACTCCAAGTTTGTATTTGTATTGCAAACAAATAAATGTTCTGCAGGGGTTTCACAGCGAGTATGGTAGTAAAAGAATTTGGAGTATTTTTTTTTCTTAAGACTCAGTTTGCATTTGGATTTCCCAAGTTCAACCAACTTCAGCGAAGCAACATCTGTGCATTCAAATGACAACCAATTATAAGAATCACTGAAAATGTTTCAGAATATTAGATTAAAAAATTTAAAATTCTAGTTTATTTGCAAATTTTTTCCTCACCTCACTCCTTATGTAAGACCTGGCTGTCTTAAAGATCTTATAATGCTGGGCAAGGGTGACACCACAGAAGTCCTTTCAGAATTGGACTATATATAAAATTACTTCCTGTGCAGGTAAAAAATTTCCTCAAGGCTGGATTAGCAGAAGAGGTTTCATTTTTATTTAGGCATGAAAACAGACAGCCAAGCCTACAGATGGGTTAAAAAATTCAAAGTCATCCTTTTTCTAAGTATCTGAGTAGAACTGACCTCATTTGTGAAGCCTTTTTCTGGTGAGGAGAGGTAGCATGAAAATCCAGGTTTTGCCTGATGTTTGTCCTGCAACAATTTATGCTTTATTTTTGAGCAGAGCAGGGAGATGTCTAACCTCGCCTCTTTACCATTCCACAAACTAATTTTAGAGAGGCAAACAAAGACTTTATTGGGGAGAGCAGCAACTGATGGAACCAGAGGACACAGTCTCAAGCTGCACCAAGGGAAATATAGACTGAAAATCAGGAAAAAGGGGTTTTTTAATCACAGAAAGGGTGATAAAGTTGTGGAATGGCTGCCCAGGGAGGTGGTGCAGTCCCCATCCCTGGGTGTGTTTAACAAAGCCTGGATGTGGCACTGGGTGCCAGGGTTGAGTTGAGCTGTTGGGGCTGGGTTGGACTCGATCTTGAAGGTCTCTTCCAACCCAGATGTTCTGGGAATTCTGTGAGCTCCCCACACCTGGTGGATCAGTGCCTTTTGGTTAAATAGGCCATTTTACAGATATTAATGTCATTCACAGATTAGCAATATCCTCTGCAGGAGTGGAGTATTTTAGGGATTGCTGCACCTGTTGGCCATTCCAGCAGCTCATCCTCATCTGAGAAACCCTGGTTTCTCTTCACTCTAACCAGGGATTTTTAAGCAAAGCCAAAAGCTAATTTTGCTTTCCTATGAGTCCTGAAGTACATTTTCACATTATTTCCAATTACACAGCACTAGCTCAGCCTTTGTGGCTGCCAAACTCTTGGGGTGGAATTCCAAGGAGCTGAGATTTAATGTGTGTGTTCATATTCAGTGAGCAAATCAATGTGCTTCTGAATATTGCCCAGGAGAATTCCTCCTGTTTCCTCTTTGCATTTTCTTTCTTTCTAGTTAAATAATTTTTTCTTATTGCTGCCATACTGGTGACACAGATTATCAGAAGCACTTATTACCACTTGCCAGAATTAATCAAATATAAATAGGAAAGAAATTACAAAATTGCCACCAATGTGCAGCTGGTATTAATGTCCAGCTGCAGCACACCAGTTTAGAGGAGAAGGGTCTTTTTTAAAAAAGGAGTGGGGTTTTCTGTTGTAGTCATGTAATATTCAATCAGCTCAAACAGTGCTGATCTCCAGGAACACTTCAAAAGCAAGAACTATCACTCGAGAAAATTGTATAATTATTTTTATCGGAATATTTATGGAAGAATAAACTGAATCTAGTGTTACAGGGTGAAATAATAAAAGAGAAGCTAATTTGTGTGACCCAAGCCTTTGGTGTTACGCAATGGGATTATTTATCTACTTTGGCAGCATACTATAAAACGATTAACTTTGCCCAGGTAGTGTTGGAGCCTCAGGTTGTTTTACTCAAATAATTTCCACTGAATTTATTTGATTGCCTGTATTTGGCTTTTTTTCTAATCCCAAATTTTTGTTGTCTTAAGCAAATGAATTGAAGGCAGAGGAATTATTCATATGAGGACAGCATGTTGTATTTGGCACTAAAATATGTAAAATAATCAGGGAACAAACAGCATTTCCATACCTCTTCATCTGTTTATGTGAGGGATAAAGTTTTCAGAATCACCTGAGAGATTTAAAAGCAATTCACATTCTCAAAATTCAATGGGATTTAGGCTTTACCGCCTTTACTGCAGCTCCATGAAAATATAAAACATTCCATATTTTTTTATCCATGGATAGTTTCACATCTCACTGTCCCTCCATCCAGTTCTTCCCCTCCATTCTTAAAGCAGTGTTTGTGCAATTCCAGGACTTTTGTCCAAAAGCAGGCCAAACTAGACATTCATAGTGATCGCTTGTCTCTCGTTTCTGACGTCCAGTTGCAAACACTACTCAAAGCCCTTCAGATTTCCCTTTCCGTGGAGATTTGCATCATGAAAAGCAGCTGTTTGCAGACACATTTCAGTCTCTCAGTCTATAAACTCTCGGCTTTTATCTCCCTAGGGCTGAAGACCATTGTAGGGGCACTTATCCAGTCTGTTAAGAAACTTGCAGATGTGATGATCCTGACCGTTTTCTGCTTGAGTGTCTTTGCCCTCATAGGCCTCCAGCTCTTCATGGGCAACCTGAGACACAAATGTGTCAGGGATTACACCATGTTTAACTTCACCAATGGCTCCTTGTACTTGGATGGTAGGACATGGAACAGCTCAGAGGAATTTCTTAGTGATCCAGGTAAGCTTCTTGCCCTGTAAATGGTTTCTGATCATTTGAGGTTTGGGGATTTTTGTTTGGTTGTTCTGGGCTGGGGGTTTTTTTTTGTTGTTTTTTGTTTGTCTGTTTGTTTGGTGGTTTTTGGTTTGTTTTTTTTAAAATTAAATTATATTGATGAAGATCTGTATGTGAATCAGCAAAATGTGACTACTGGCTCATCATGATGTCAATGTGGTTTTGAAAGACCTAGGTACCTTTCTCTGAATCTCTATGGTGCCTTCACAGTTCATGCTGAAAATACTTCTGCTGCTTTTCTATGAAGTCCTAGCTGCCTCACTGATGATTTTCACAGTTTTAGGGGGTCTTATATATTCTTAAAGCTCTGTTTTCTGGAATTGAGCAATCACATGAAAATTTCAGCTCTGTGTTTGTGGGTCTGGTTTGCATGTTGCTTTTCTGAAGACAATTTATAGCTCTAGCATTTCCTAGAAAAACTTCAAAATTTGGGTTAATGGCCTTAAAAAAATTTCAAAAGGTAAAACAAATCAATTCAGTCTTTATTACTCTGAAAAATCCCAAAATAATTTTTTTAAGGAAATCTTTTTCTGTTTGGGCCTAACTCATAATTTGGGTCAGGCCATCCTGTACAAACTCATGACCTTTTGTATTTTATTTATTTTAAGGAGAAGAAATGAACCACATAATCAGCCCATTAACTGGAGTTTTGGTTGAGAGGCAGTGTCATACTGCCATGGGGTAGCTCTGCTCTGACTCTGTGGACCCTACAGTCCTACATCTCCAGCCACCTGCACTATAAACACCCCCAAATCTGACTCGTGGGAGTTGCCTGGCTTGACCCAGGACTCTGTTGACCCAGGGATTTATCCAAGGGCAGTCCCTCCATTTCCCACTGGTGACTTTAGGCATTTCTGATCAGTTCCTCTCCCTGTGGTCTGAGAACCCTGGAAGAAGTAGTGTTAAGGTTTCCTTCAAGGAATAGAAAGCTCACCATGGGTGTCTTTAAGGCATGATGTGGTCGATGAAGCATTAAGGAAGGACAGCTCTGCCTGAGTGAGGGTTGTTTTTGGAACTGGTCCTGACCATCAGGCTGTGTGTCTTCTCCATGCTCCTGTATCAGAGCCTTATCAACTGAAAGGGAAAAGAGCTCTTGGAATTCTGCTGGACGGTGTGGAACCTGCTGAAGTGTTATCCCATCCCTGCTTCCAGTGAGGAGCTAGTAAAGAAAGATATTTGTGTACCTGTGCTGGATTAAGGCACTTCAGGGCTCCTCTACCCACAGATAACAGAGACCTGTGTGAGGAGCTGCTTTCCCTCTCTCACAGAGGCATTGAGGGATAAAACAGTGATTGCATGGAAGCATAAAGCCCTGCAAGAAAGGTGAAAGGAAGAAATGGAGCCATGAAGATAGTCTGGCTCTCTGGAAATGGAAACGGGGTAAATGTGATAGAGGATGGTCTGTTAAAATACATATAATGTCAGGGCCAGCTGCAGCCTTGCTTTAAATGTGGGGAAGTGTACAGCTGCTCCAGCATACCATGAGCAAGTTTATTTATGTAGTCCTGATATGGGGATGAGGGCAGACACTCCCAGAAATTGTATAGGAAATCCAGTAATGCTTAATAGGGTCATGAAAATATGCTTGCTATCACTAGAAGAGATTTGCCTATTACAAAGATAACCAGCTTGGTGAGATAATGGACTAAAGTGAATTAAATTTTGACCATGTTGTATTACTAGGAATTAATAATAATAATATTAATTAGTATTTTCATAATATCTGAAAATAAAGACATAGTGCATTATGGCAAACAGTTGTCACTTACTTTGGATAGACAGAAATTATTAAAATTGTGAAAGTGTTGAGGCAATGCAGCAGACCGCTGAAGACCTAGAAGAATAGTATTTTTAAAAGAGAAAAAGTAGTGACCTCTGAATAAGAACAACGAAGCCTTCCTCAAAATGCTCAGGAAGGAGGCTTAGTTATTAGGCAAGAGAGAACAATATTAAGTAGGATTTTCATTTAACATTCCCTATTGCACTAAAGTGATTCAGAAATGGAAGGACTGGCTCATTTTGTGACTAGATGGGATAGTGCTTTGTGTTTCATTTTGCATAAGTATTATGGTGAAATGAAGTGACCATTTAAAGGAGAGGCACTGACCACAATTTAATAACAGTCCGAATTTCAAGTACTGTAGGGAATTAAGCAATACATACAGTTAGATTAAAGTGTAGGCAGACCAAATTAGATAAAAAGAGGAATATATTAAGAAACAGAATCATGTCAGTGTTTGTTCTGAAGAAGAACTAGAGAAGAAAATTGGCCAACGTGTTGAGATAGTAGAGTTCACTCAAAGGGAGCTCAGACAATTACAAGAGCTCTTTGGAGATTTCAAAACCAATGAGGCTGAGTCATTTAGTTTGGAGCAGGGATACTAATCTAAAAAACCTGGAAAACAGAAACCTGAAGAACTGTCAGAGTTCCATAATAGTACTTTATAGAAAAAGGGGCATGTAAATGTATAAAGGAGTCCAAACCACTGAAAATTAAATTGGAGAAATTCTTCGGTTCATCAGGACACCAAAATGGAGAATTAAAATGGGCTGATATGACAGTTCTGTTCTTCTTGAAAAGCAAAAATTTGCTTTGGATTCTTTAAGAACATTTTAATATTTTAAAGCACAGCAGGGAACCTCTGAAATGGTATCAGTCTCCTCCCGTGCCTTATAACTGTTTTTTGCATGAATGAAAAAACAGAAACCAGTAAAACCCCTTAAAAGGGTAATGGAAAGAAGAATTGCTTGGTGCTGCAGAGGAAGTAGTTGAGAGATTTAGTCATGAGGTGTAAAGGAAGATAAGACCTTGGTTTTGAGTCTTTCAAAGGCGTTTTTAGTTTGAGATAATGGTGTGTTGTGGGCACTTGCTACAGAGGACATTTTGGTTGTGTCTCTGGGATGGCCTGGGATAGCTCCAGGTCTGCTTTTTTATTCAAAACTTACTTCATATCTGGACAAAGTTCTGTAATCTTTCCTGATCAGCTTTCAGCCTCCAGGCAGGAAATTTTTTTTTCATCTGTCTTCTCGATCCTCTCATTTTGGTTTTATATACGGGAAAAAAAGTCAGTTTATAAACTTTGTGTCATCACTGGCTTAAGCACGGTTAAGGGGTAGCTCTTGATTTTCGGTTTATCCCTGAGGAAATAACAACCACAACCCTAGATTTCTGGAACTCCTTCCCTTAACTCCATACTCAAGACCTACGGGTATTTTCCTGTTCTATCAGTGTGTTCAAGGAAAGTCTTTTTTCTATAAATCTTGTCGATCCTGCGTTGCAAGGTTGCTAATGTTTTTGAGAATTGTTGGGTTTCCCCCTCCATCTGCCATGAGATGATCACACACTAAATCCCATAAGGAATTCCTGCCTGTCCACCCAGCATTTTGCTTGTTCTTGCCATCATTTCAATGGCTTCTGCACCTGGAGGAAGTGCCAGGTAACTTGGGAAGAAAGAGGCAAAGCATGGAGATCCAGTGGGAAAATTGAAACTGGCTCCTATTTACGTTCACTAAACACTAAGAATACAAAGTCCTAGAATATAAAAGTGTGAGCAAATATTCCTGATTAGACTATCAAGAAGGGAAGACTAACAAGCTGTCATTAACAGCTTAACTCTGTGGAAGAAACCTCTGCTAAGTTGCTGTGGGTGCTTCTGGTGTCTCAGCTTAATTACTGGGCAAAGCAGTCATGGTAAGATGAGACAAATTTTTAGTCTTTCCTCAATTCACAGCAGAGATTCAGGTCTAAAATCTGCCTTTTGCTGGGCACCTCTCTTTGGGATGAACAAGAGAACTTTTATATTCTTTCTACCCATTTAAATGACTCAAAATTTAAACAGGAGCTTCTAAGAGGAAGGCTTATCAGAAAAATTATTCCATTCTGTCTTTGTCTCCAATGAGTAATACTTACCACTGCAAACCTAGAGAGGGGGAAAAATGAAGAATGAGGGAGAAGTAGCTCATCAGGTCTCCCAGCTCCCTCTGTGTAACTGCTCTTTGAATGAATGGATTGTGGGATGAGAGACAGCTGAGCATCAGATAAAATCAGGCTAAAAAATTCTTCATGTCAAGTGCCAGTGGTAAAATGACAATCATTCATCTGGGAAAATGGTGACTACTGATAGGTAATTATTTTCCTACCTTCAGTTCTAGATTTGGTAAGAGATTGTGATCAATAAGCCCAAGGAGGATTATTTTTAGACATTAATAATAACAAACCTGGAAGGCTGGAATTTTAGATGCAGCAGTGACTGTATATAAAAAATGGAATAGAGGGGGGAAAAAAGGTTGAAAATAATGATAGTTTACATCCACAGCATTATGAAAATTATGAGATCAATATATCAATATCAAAGTCATTATGCTGTTGGTTATCATTAGGAAAGTTAATAGTTTAGAAATACCAGCTGACTAAAAAGCTATAAGCCTAATTTCAATACTTGTAAAGATTTCTAGGAAATCAGCTCCAAATACCAGTCTTAAAAGCCTGTCTTGGGTTGTGGTGTTTAAATTAAAGACGCTTTTGATGAAGTGAATCTTCATGAACGTGTGAGTTAGAATGGATTAAAAGCTATGGGATGTCAGATGTGTCACTGACTTAGAGAAGTACCAGTGGACTGGGTGTAGCTGGTTCATGTAGCTGGTGATTTTAGACTCTTTAATGTCATTTAATGTATTCCATTATGAAAATGGTTTATTGACTAGTCAGTAAGTAGAAATCTGAGTCCTTTTGTTGAGCAGGGTTTAATGTAAGGGCTGAAAGCATAAGAAAAAATGCTTTAAAACTATAATTAAATTATATAAAGTCACTTATAGAATGATAGTCTTAAAGCCCAGCATTTTATTTTTCTTTAGAATAAATACATTGTTTAAGACACTCTGAAAGGGTCTTGTTTTCAAATTGTTCTATATACGTTTTCCTCTCAAAATCAGTCTTTTAAGGTAAA